CAACATAATGTTTTTGTCGTTTGTGTTCTTTCCGATCTTTACGCATTTTATTACTCCATAAAAAATTCTCTTTACCCCTGTCGTACTCCAGTTTGATAGTTTTCACCGCTTGTTTAGGGTTGAGCCCTGAAATTTAATAGTGGACTTAAAAAACTAACTACAGATGCTTTACACCCAATTATTTTGGATAACGATTTTTTTATTTGATATTTGTACTTAATGCGGCTTTATTCTTGTTTTTTTTTGCTTGTGTTTCAATTCACTACTATTTTAATTAATAGTATTAACTATCAATTTTATGTTATTATTACTATTATTGTTATCACTAATAATTTTTTATTTTGATCAAACTTAAGAAAAAAGCGCAAAAATAAAAAAAAAAAAGTTGCTATTCTTTAAATGTTTTAAAATTTTAAATAAAAATAATATTATAATTCTAAGTTAATTTTATTTTAAATTTAAATTAATTTTTAACTCATTCTTTAAAACAAAACATAAGAACATAAAAATATATAACTATACAATTAATAATTTAATTTTATATTAAATATATAAGTTAGGCATTATTTTTATCCATTAAATAATTAAATTTAAATTAGATAAAATATAAAATAGGTTTAAGGGATAACTGATATCATCATCTCTTTCGACTGAAAAAAAGTTGACCTGTACATTCCATTGGAAAAATGGGTATATCTTTCCAATTCAATATCATTTATATACACACACACACATATATGTACATTTCATGGGTGAGAAGAAGTCTGCAGGAGGAATCATCTTGAAAAGTCCATGATTTTACAGACAATACGACACAGAACCTCCCACATCTTTATATATATGTGTACATATATATGTAAATTCCACATCTTTATATATATATATACACATATATATGTAAGTTTCATGGGAGAAGGAATCATGTTTAAAAGTCTGATTTTACAGAGAACCCGACACAGAAGCCACCCCCATCTTTCTCTTTCTTTCTCAATCCAGAATTTTACCATTTTTAAATACCTGCATTCACATCATTCCATTTTTACCCTCCTTCTCACAAACTATTTTACCGTTTTCTTTTCAAAAATTAACGAGCAAATGCAGCCAAAACAGAGCCATTCTGGAAGTCTCTGTCTCTCTCTCTCTCTCTCTCTCGCTTACCTCCCTCTGCCCCCATAACCATAAACGCCTGCAATCTTACCGATACCAAACTCAGCAGCTATTAACTACTTGTCTTCATGGCGGAAACAAGCTCTAGTACCAGCAACAATGGATCAGTTCCAATCCTTAAGTTGGCCCCAGATCATCTCTTCACAATCTTGCTTCTACTCCCGATTGATTCAATCCTCTCCTTTTCCATGTCTTGTAAGAGATTTAGGTCCTTAGCCTGCTCTGATAGTTTGTGGGAGTCTATATGCAGGAGGGACTGGGAACAAAAATCGGTGGATGCCCTTAAGTCTGTGTATCATCATCATGAGAGGCAGCTGCTTCCATGGATGAGCCTGTACGAGAAAGTATATAAGCTTGATTCAGTTTATTGCCACAAACTGTCGGACCCAGATGGTGAATTCATGGTTCCCAGTCCCAGAGCTTCTCACTCTCTCAATTTTGTGTCTGATTGTTTGGTCTTATTTGGGGGTGGCTGTGAGGGAGGTCAGTTTTTTTTTTCTCCTTTCATTGATCTAATTAATCTCTGCTTGGCTTTACTCTTTCTTCTTGTTTGTTTTCTAATTCATTGTTTTTTCCAAGATCAGTATTTCATTTATTGGTTTCAGGGTAACTGACTGCTTTTCCTTTCATTTGTCTTGTCTCCTATATGTTCTTGTGGGGGTTTTCTTGGCGTGTTTGTTGTACTTTAAATTTTCTTTCTCCTTTTAGATAGTGGCTGTTGCTGGGGTCTAATGCACCTGGAAGCTTAAAAAAGAAAATGGAAGAAAAAAAAAACGGTGTTGTGAGGTTTTGTTAAGTAAGATGGATTCCTTAGGTAATGGCACCGGGACTTTGGATTGAATTTTGGATTTTGGGCATGTTACTCCCTGGAAAATTGTGAGATTAGAAAATTTTACTTGAATTCTGTTTTTTCTTTCTTATATCAAATTATACACAGTAGTTGCTGGTTCACTTGGACATTAGCAGTAGCAGGGTTGAACTGGTTTCAATCTCAAACAGAACTTTAGGAGTTGCCGGTTATGTTTTGAACTAATGAATTTTATTTTTCAAGTTTATTTGAAAATACACGCTGATGAAAATTGATCTTCTAGACAATTTAAGGCAGAACAGGATAATACATTTTAAATTTTATGAAAATTGGTAAAATTCGACATAGATTCTAATAATTCTACATGAAATTGTTTAGAAACTCGACTTTTATGATTTTGTGAGAGTTTTTTTGTTGTAGATTTACAACTGAATTAACAAAATTTTGGTTATTCCAAATATAGTTTGATGAATGGCAGAAGTGGAGATAGCTTTACTTGATTTCATTCAAACTATTGTTGGAAGCTCTTGAAATCCTCCTTGACCATCAGCTCTGATATAAATTTGATGGGCCCTGAGCTATGGATCTGGTCGCGGGGCTTGCTAGTGTGAAATCCTGGAGCAAGCAAGCTGCTTGTTTCCTAGTTTCCCTGCCTTGCAGGCCTATGGTGAGGCTCAATTAAGAGAACCTCCAAGCTTTTGAACATGAACTTTTTGGATTAATATCTTGATATTTTTATTTATGATAATAGATATATTTATATGGAAGCTAATTGGATTAGATCTATATTACAGTTCTAGGAATCATAGTGCTAGTCTTATTTCAAATCTTAATCTAAATCTAATTATAGTTCTAGAAATCCTAATCCTAGTTTTATTCCAGTTTCCTAATCTAAATTTAGATATAGATAGTTATATAAATTTTTAAATAATTTTTAACTCTTATTAGCTTCTTAAAGATATCAACTTCCTATTATACTTAAACTCCCTTTGCTGCTTCCATGGGTCTCAAGCTCTATTATTTTCTGTATTGTAACAATATTACTTGAGGTTGATAAAACTAAGATGGTAGAACAAACTCAAAACTTTCACAAATTCTTTTCCCAGTTTACTTACTGGATCCAACCCTTATCTTTCCATGAAGCATGTTGACCAATATTAGGGTTTTTTTCGCCATGAACTTGATTATCATCTTCCTCTTGTTCTGGGACTTGCTTCTCATGTGATTCGTCAACTTGTTCTTCTATTATGTCTTCTACTTGTTTTTCCATCCTTAATCCTTCTTCATATAGCTCAGGCTTTTAACGTGAGTCTTTACTCTGTGAAGGCACTTCAAAAATTTTTCTTTCTTATCACCTCTGTTATGAAGTCTTTTTGAACTATCTGATAAGTTGACTTGTTTATTCTAGAAGCTTTGCATGACTTGTCGCGCAAAACATGTTTCTTATTATCCCTAAATAATACGTAAATATTTCTTTCTGCAATTGTGAAGGATGTGTGTTAAATTTCCATATGTATTCCGATAATAAACGACGAGTTTTCATCTCAATCACATCACAATATGTTTCATCTTCATAAGACTATTTACCAGAAAAAAGAGTGCAACAAAATTTTACTTACTTTGACATTACCATCCAGTATATAAGGTGTAGGAAGTGGCTCTATTGGTAATTGTGAGTAATGTACCAATGCTTGAGACACAATATTGTCACTAATACGAGTTTCAATGATAAAATACATATCAATTCGTTGATTTTGCACTTAAAACAAAAAATTGAATCACAATTGGTAAGAAAAAGTTTTTGAACAACACATATACAAGAAATTTCCTCCTTTATATTTATCATTGGAATTGCACCCACCCCACACATCTTCTGGTGATGGTGGTCCAGCTTTTCAATGTTGTCTGAGTCTTTTTGTGGTAATGCTTGGCATTGTTGGCAGTGCCTAGCGTGTTAGGAATTGGCAACTCTGTGTTCCTCTTCTTTTTTCTTCACAATCTTTCTCTCTTTTTTTTCCAAACTAGGTGGCAGGGGTGTTTAGCAATAGAATCAGGATTTGCTAAGTTCTTTTTTTTTTTTTTTTTTGAAATAAAAGATGAATGTATTATTATTCACAAAGGCATTAAGGGAGTACCATCCAATTATATAGAAGCTACATATCAATTAGGTGGTTGATGACACCCCAAATCTTCCCAATGTAATATTTCATAATCTAGTAAAATGAAACC